TCCTGTAGCCCCAGCTGGCTTCAAACTCACTAGACCAGACTGGGCTTGCACTTACAGAGACCTGCCTCTGCCTCCCAAGTGCTGGGATAAAAGGTCTGCATCCCCATGCTGGGCTCATACCATCCTTTTATGGACTATAGGATCGAAAATTAAGACCTCAACAGAACAATATCCATCTTAATGCTGGATTTATATCATAAATTATATGTTTCAGATGGAACATTAATGGTGAATTGAAAGTTTGTTTCTTAAGTGTTAATGCCTGCAACTGCTAAAATGTCTGCTCTGATTCAACACAATCTAAAACCATTCCTTCTGTGACTAATTCTGACAAACTGTCTAGGCTAGCAAGACCCCAGTCCAAATGCCTCCCACTTAAGACACAGAAAAATAGAACAGGGAAGTTAGAGTGCAGGGATGAATTTAAACTGAAGAGCTTTGTTTTTTCCACAACAGCAAGGGGAGGAACAATTGACTTGAAGTGATTCCTGCGATCACTCTGCCACATTTGCTCATTAATTTAAATAGTGAACTTGATTACTTTTATAAAAATATTTTGGAAACTGTAAAATTGCTGATAAAAATCAGGATTCGTCTTAGTTCACAGGGTCTTAAATTTACCTTTAATAATCTAAATCTAAGAGGATGCACAGGACAACACACCCAAATATCTGCAACCGAATTTTGAGGCCTGCGATCCTTGCTGTAGAGTAGGCATAAACAAAGTTTAAATCCCAGGTGAGTTTCGCGGACCTGCCTCTGCTCCGAGCCCGCAACCCTGACTCCGAAGTGTCCCAGCAAGTCGTGCCGAGCACATGACCAGGAGTCTTTCCCAGGGCCTTGGGTTCTGTCCACTCTCCCTTCCACCCTGAGGGTCCTTCCCTGCACCGGCTCCGAACCAACCGCTCTGCGTGGTTCCTGCTGCTGGGGTAAACTTTCGCATTCAGCAGAGACTCGGTCCTGTTCAGTCTGCTTCCGGTTCTACACCACCCTGCTCCTGAACTGGGGCGCTCCCTAGTCTCAGTGGAGTTCTCCAGGCCCCCAGGACCCTGGGCCGGCAGACTTTGGCGCCATGCGGCCTCAGCTCTGCCCGGCACATTCCTCTCCAAGTTCCGGTTGCTTCATTCTTCCGACTCCGCCCAAGCCACACCCCTTCTCTAATCACATTGCGTTTGCTCCACCTCTCCTCTTTGGGTCACTCCTCTGACCCAGGTGACTGCCCCTGACCCCAAAAGATCCCGCCCCTCTCAGTACTTCTAGATCACAACCGAGTGGCTCCACCTGTCAGTCTTGCCCTGGACCCAGTACACAGGCTCTTTACAGGGGTGCTGTGGGCTTAGACAACACCTGGACCTAGTAAGACACCCTACCCCCCTACTTAAACCCCCAGCCTGGTTTTTGCTCTCATGAGACACCCCCAAAGACACCCAGCCTGAAACCTTACCTTGGGATTCCATCCTCCTGGGATAAAAAAAATCAGGAAAAGACAACAGACTAAATACAGATGCCCAGAGCCCATGCCCCAAATACTAAAAATATGACAAACCAAGAAAACATGCCCCTCCCCAAGAAAAAGCAGCAATTCCATAGCAATGTTCCCCAAGAGAGCAATTTAGACTAAATCTAAGATACAGAACTCAAAAAGAACACATAAATATGTACCAGGAGTTCAAAGCATATTGTTATAAAAATTATCCTGAGACCGACCTGGACCTGGAAGCAGAACCCACCCATGCTCAGGAAGCAGAGGAAGTTTATCCTCCACTACACTTGTGCTAACCTGTTCCAGAGAAACTGAGGCACTGACTAGAAATACAAACAGGTTTTTATAGGATTTCTTGTCAGCCCTTGGCAGTAATTGTGTGGTGGATTTCAGACTTCCAGCACTGAGGTATAGGTGCCCCTTAGGTTATTATAGGAAATTTAAGCAGTCAGCATTTCTACAAAAGCAGGTATTTCAGGCAAGTGTGGGCAAGGATTCTGACATTTCCACTAGCATGCTGTATTGCTGATGCCCGAACAATGTCAGCTATTTGAACAGATAAGACACATTGCAGTAAATGTTTCTTCAGGACTACTGCAAGAGGCAGCATTCTTCAAGGCACTCACAAACTATGGGTTTTGTCATTTTGTCTGTCTTGTCATTAACAACTTAAAGGTTAGAGTTGGAAGTTCCTTCATACAGCTTTCTAACACAGATCTAAAGTAGAAGCTTATAAGGCTAAACTTTAAAAGTACTGCTACAAAGTTTTGTTCCTATATCAATAAGCACATATATTAGTAGGCTTGTCATTAGGAGTACATAGGTTCTTATCAACTACATTTGTTAGTACTTATATGTACCACACAAAACAGAGTTATGCTGAGGTGATAGGTCATTAGTTCCATACTGGGTTAATTTTTCTTCATCAATAGAAAGAGGAAACTAATACCTGAATGAACTTAAAGAGGACAAGGTAGGATATGAAAAGTGAATTCAATAAACATACAGAAACACTAAAGAAAACATGAACTGAAATGAAGCAAGAAACTTAAATCCAACAGCCCTAAGAAAAAGTCAATGTGAAGCTTCACCACCAGAATAGATCAGATACATAGATTAGAACACAGAACATCAGGTTTTCAAGAGAGTAGAGGAAGTTGATCAAACAATCAAGGAGAAGGCTAGATAAATGGTGGCACGTCTTTAATCCCAGCACTTGGGAGGCAGAGGCAGGCGGATCTCTGTATAGTGAGTTCCAGGACAGCTGGGGCTACAAGGAGACCCTGTCTCAAAAAGACCAAAAAACCAAAACAAAACAAAAGACCCACTTCATACTAGCAAAAGATACCAGTGGAATTCAGGCTGTATCTTGTACATTGATATGAAATTTCTCTACAATTTGATACATTCACTGTCACTCTGGAGAGCTTGCAAAGGAAGATAAACGATAGTTTCCTTCTCTGTATAAATAAGTGACATGAAAGACCAAATTTATCTTTTCCCACAGAAAGCTCCCTTATTACCAAATACCTGAAATTTCTCTAACAGTTTTCACCTGAGGCTGAAACTCCAAAACTCTGGGTTTCACAGGAAATGGATGTCTCAGGAAGTAGCACAGAAGCCCACTGCTGACAATCCAGGACCTGAAGTCATCCTGCAGTGTACCCCAGGCACCACGAGAGGGATGTCTGGCCATTTTCCTAACTCAAACAAGTTTGCCTTCCAGAAATCAATGTTAGAAATGCTTTTAGGTAAAGCATAGGAGGTTCTGATTTAAAAACTCACAGGAAAAGAATATGTAAGAATTTTAGAATACCATTAAAAGGTAAAACCTGTAAATTAGGTGCAGAGAAGAAAGAGAAGAACTCCAGGATAAAGGAATGGCTAACATTTTAAATTCAATCACAGAGGAATGTCTCTCAAATCTAAAAAGTTATCTAGCCAAGTGCAAGAAGCCCACAGAACATCAGATAGGACCAGAAAAGAAACTCTCGTTGGCATATCATAGTGACAACACTAAAGACACAGACTGAACAAACGTACTGAAAGTTGCAATAGAGAAGGGCCAAGTCCCAGATAAAGGCAGACCCATCACAATAACAGCAGGTTCTTCAATGACAATTTTAAAGCCAGAAGGGAATAGAATAATTTTTCCCCACAACTGCCAACCTGACTGTTACACTTCACACAACTATTGAAAGAGAAGTAATAAATTTTCATGACACAGACTAATGGAATATATGACCACTAAGCCTGTTCTACAGAAGATACTGGAAGGAATACTAGGAACAGAAGACAGGGATAAATACATGCAGATATCACAGGAGAAAAAGAATCCCAGAACTATTCATCAAAAATTCTTACGAAAACAACACAAAATCAAGAAAAGGACATGAGTTAATACACATTATTTATAACAACTCTGAATATTAATGGCCACAGCTCCTTGCCATAAAGGATACAGAGTAGCAGATTAGATTGGGAAAGAAGATCCACCTTCTTGCTGCCTCAAAGAAACAAGTGTTGCTCTCAAAGATAGGCACCACCTCAGAAAAGGGGATGCGAAAATCTACTCCATCATGGAACTAGGAAACAAACAGGCATATCTACTCAAATAACACACAAAATAGATTTGAAACTGAATTTAGCAGAAGAGATAAATGTTACTTCCTCCTCATTAAGAGAACAATTGTTCAAGAGGACATTACAATTCTAAGTATGCACCTACCAAGATAGATTCATGCAATTTTTTAAAGAAATACTACTAGATGAAAAACTACAGATTATTCTCAACACACAAATAGTGGGGAGTTTCGATACATGACTATCATCAAGAGACAGGTCATCTCAACAGAAAATGAACCAAGAAACATTGGAGTAGTACGAATCCATAAACCCAAAGTATCAAACAGACACCTACAGAACATTATACTCTAACGCAGGAGGCTTCACATTCTTCTCAGAAGCCCATGAAACCTTCTCCTAAATAGACCCCAAGAGTAGGAGCAGAGCAAGCCTCAACAAGTTGAGGAAATCTGAAATTAGTACACTTTCTGTGCACCATTAACAAGTATACAGAAAAGAAATCAGGGAAAAAATCCCCTTTGCAATGGCCACAGCAAAAATAAAATACCTAAGCATAAACCTAACAAAGGAAATGGAAGAAGTCTACACTGACAGCATTAAAACTCTGAAGAAAGAAATTGAAAAAAATACTAGAAGATAAAAAGACTTTCCAAAACAAAGAACTGGAAAAATTTCATCTTGTGCAAATAGATATCCTACCCAAAGCAATCTACAGCTTTAATTCCAATGTCAATCAAAATTCCAGGATTGGGCTGGATAGCTCAGTGGTGAAAAGCTTTGGTTGTTCTTCCCAAGAACATGGGTTCCATTCCCAGCACCCATGGTGCCACTAACAACTGTCCATACCTCCAGTTCCAGGGAATCTGATGCTCTCTTTTGGTCTTTGCAGGCACTACATGTATGGGTGCATTTACGTACATGCAGGGAAAACACACATAAAATATAAATAAATAAATAATTAAAATGATATTACAGGGCCATTCTTCACACATATAGGAAAATTATTGTCAAAATTTATATAGAAAATACAAAAGGAGGGCCAAGTCAAACCTGAACAAAAACAGTGCCAGGCAGTATCTCCACTCCTGATCTCAAGTTTTACTACAGAGCCATAGTAATTAAAAACAGTGTAGGGGTTAGACAATTAAGAGCACTGACTGTTCTTCCAGAGGCCATGGGTTCAAATCCCTGCACTCATCTGATGACTAACCACTGTCCATAACTCCAGGATATCTGACACCTTCTTCTGTCCCCTGGAGACAATGCACAATACAAGTGCACTTATGTACATGCAGGCAATTCACTCACACACATAAAAGGAAACTAAAAAAATAAAAATATAGACTAAAAAAACAGCATAGTACTGACACAATAACAGACACCTAAGCCAATGGGACAGAAGAAAGGACCTGGACATTAGTCTACAAAAATAGTTACATTTTTGACAAAGATTCCTGAAACATACATTGGAAAACGATCAGAAGGACAGTATCTTCAACAACCAGTGTTGAAAAACCCTGCGTATCAACATGCAGAAGAATGAAACTCATCCCTGTCTCTCACTGTGAACAAAACTCAACTCCAAATGCACCAAGGACTTCCATATAAGACGTGATATTCTAAAACTGCTGGAGGACCAGGTAGGGAATATTCATCAACAGACAGGCATAGGCAATGGTTTTCTGAAGAGGAATGCAGTAGCCCTGGAAATAAGACTAACTGACAAATGGGATCTCATGAAATGAAAAGCCTTCTTCACAGTGAAGGAAACTGTCAATGCAGAGGCAGCCCACACAGTGAGAGACAATCTTTGCCAACCATACTTCAGGCAAGTGATTAATGATAAGAATATACAAAGAATTTGCGATGGCTTATCTAATTGTCAACTAGACTGGATCTGGAATTCACTGAAATGAAAGAGACAGTCTTGATTGGATCATTTGAAGCTCTAGGACCCTCCCTAAACGTAGGCATTACCTTCTGATGGCAGCCTGTATAAAAGGCCGTATATATGTATGTGTGTGTGT